GGAGCTGCCTCCCCTCCAAGCTTAGAGGGAGTGAGTCCGATAAGTTGGGGCTCCAGCCGCCTCAGCCTCTCTGAGCGTCGGTTCCCGCTGGTTTTTCCAGCCAGAATTTATGGGGACTTCTCTTCCTGGCACTGGAACCCTGAGCGGGGCACCTGGTGTGGGACGGGGACCCCTCAGTCCTCAGGGAGGACCTTCCCAGCCGAGGTGTCTTCCTGATTTTTATCCGCCACACATGGGTGTGGGACCAGCCCTCACGCCGCCCCTCGCGCCTCCGCCCCTCCTATAAGTCTGGATGTGGCTGCTGCTTTAATTCCGTAGTTGTAGGACTTCCATTCAGGCTGATTTCAGGCGGTTTTGAATGATGGTGGTTCTGTATTTTAGTTGTAACTTTGATGTGGTTGTGGGAGGACGCGAGACCGCATTTACCTACCCGCCATCTTGACCGAAAGTCCTGTATGTGTCTTTTGATCTGAAGGGAATATCTTGTAGACAGTATATGTGTTGTTATGTTTTCAGCTACTTTGTGTCCTTTGATTGCAGCAGTTAATCCGTTTGCATTTAAAGTATTGTTGGTATAGATATGTATTTGTTAGTTTCATTATTCCTACTTCAATCTTTTTGAAGATTCTTTTTCTTAAAGAAGACCCTTTAATATTTCCTGTAACATTGGTTTAGTGATGATAAACTAATCCTTTAGCTTTTTTGTCTAGCTCTTTATTTGTCCTTTGATTCTAAATGATAGCTTTGCTGGGTAGAATAATGTTTGTTATAGGTAATTGCTTTTCATTACTTGGAATATTTTGTCCCTTATGGCCTGCAACGTTTCTGTTGAGAAATCAGTTGACAGCCTTGTGGGAACTCCTTTATATAACTAAATGCTTTTCTCTTGTTGCTTTTAAGATATTCTCTTTGTCTTTAATGTTTGGCAATTTATTTTATTTATTTTTCTATTCCTCACCTCGATATTTTTCTACTTATTATCAGATAGAGTGGGAGGGAGGGGGAGAAAGAGAGAGAGAGAGACAGAGACAGACATTGATATGATAGAGCCACATCGACTGGTTGCCTTCTGCACGACCCCACCAGGGCCAGGGACGAACCGCAACTGAGGTATGTGCCCTTGCCGGAATCGAACCCACGACTCATTGGTCCGTGGGCTGATGCTCTAATCGCTGAGTCGGACTGGCCAGGGCAACCTTTGGCATTTTAATTATGATGTGCCTTGATGTGGGCCTCCCTGGGTTCATCTTGTTTGGGATTTTGTTCGCTTCCTGAACTTGACCGTTTCCTTCACCAGGTTAGGGAAGTTTTCTGTCATTATTTTTTCAAATAGGTTTTCAATTTCTTGCTCTGTCTCTTCTCTTTCCAGCAGCCTCGTGATGAGAATGTTGGTATGCTTGAAGTTGTCCCAGAGGCTCCTTGAACTATCTGCATTTTTTTGGATTCTTTTTTTCTTTTTGCTCTTCTGATTGTGTTCTGCTTCATTATCTGCCAAGTTACTGATTTTATCCTGTGCTTCATCTACTGTTGATTTTCTGTAATGTACTCTTCATTTCAGTTATCATAGTCTTTCTTTCTTTCCTTCCTTCCTTCCTTCCTTCCTTCCTTCCTTCCTTCCTTCTTTTTTGCATTTATCTTCAGATAGAGCGGGAGCGAGAGAGAGGGGAAGAGAGAGAGAAACATCGATGTGAGAGAGACACATTGAGTGGTTGCCACCCACACGACCTCAACTGGGGCATGGACAAACCGCAACCGTGATACGTGCCCTTAGCGGGAACCGAACCCGGGACTCCCACGTCCGCAGGCTGATGCTCTAACCGCAGTGCCAAACCAACCAGGGCACAGTCTTCATTTCTGACTGTTTTTTTTTTTTTTTATGTTTTCTATCTCCATTTTTATGTTTCCTATTTCTTTGTTAAAGTTCTCCCTGAAATCATTGAGCATCCTTATAGGTAGTGTTTTGAATTTACACCTGGTAGATTTCACGTCTCCATTTTGTTTACTTTTATTTATTTTTTTGGAGGTTTTGTTCTCTTAATTCATTTGGAACATGTTTCTTTGTTGTCTCATTTTGGCTGCCTCCCCGTGTTTATTTCTATGTATCATGTAGAGCTGCTGCGCTCCCAGTCTTAGTAGAGTGGCCTTATGTAGGAGGTGTCCTGTACAGTCCAGTGGCACAGCAGTGGCTCCCCAGTCACCCGATCTGGGAACTCCAGGTGCACCCTTCTGTTGTAGATGAGCCTTGATTGCTGTCATCACATCAGTGGGAGGGATTTACCCCCAGTCCTGTTGTTTGCCAGGACTGGCTTTGAGCACCGAGGAGGAAGAGCTGCTTTGCAGGGGAAGACCCCACAGAACAAGACTCACTTCAGCAGGGCTCTGGTGTCTAGTGAGTCTACCCCTGGAGTGTGTGTCTGGTGGAGGTGGTTAGGTGGTTGGGTTGTGCTCAGGCATGGTCTGAGGCTGGCTCCGGGCCTCTTGAAAGGTGCAGGCCAAGATAAGCTGCACCTGTGCCCTGTCAGGCCATTCAGCTGCTACTTGTGCTGGGCTTGGAGGTGCCCAGGAGAGGCCACACTGAAAACCGAGGCCAGCTACTCCTAGTGCCTGGTGTAGGCTCACTTATCAAGAGATATGGGCACGCCAAGGCCAGATGCTTCTTGTTTGGGGGTTTGTGAACCTTTGTGAGATTTTAAGAAAGCCCAAAGCATGAACCATTTATTACAGGCTGTTTGTATGGAAAAACCACCAGTGTGGGCCTCCTCTAAGTTGGGAATTACCAGGGCTGGGCAACAGTGTTAGGTTGATGGAGACTCAGATATGGTGCCCACCTGCAGTCTCTGTAGGGGAAGAAGTCAGCAAAGGAACAATGGCTTCTGCTAGCGCTTCTCTCTGGGAGAAAGCTGGCCCTCCTGAAGCCAGACAACTCAATTACTTCTTGGATGTCCCTGGGGCCTTCCAAGCTCCTGCTCCAGTGCTGGAGCTCAGAGGGAGTGAGTCTGAGTAAGTCTGTGTGCCGGCCCTTTAAGAGCAACACTGGGACTCCCACAGCCCCCTTGCCTCACACAGTCATAATCCCTGCTGATTTCCACACCAGAAGTTATGGGTACTTCTGTTCCTGGCACTGGAACCCTGGGTTGGGGCCTGGTTTAGAGCTGGGATTCCTTGCTCCTTAAGGGGCAACCAGCCCAGGAGCTGAGTTACCCCTCCTGATTTAAAAGAAAACTATTTTTTTCTTTATTAGAGAGAGGAAAGAAGAGGGAGGAGTAGAAACATCTATGAGAGAGAACATCAATTAGCCACCTCCTGCCTGCCCCACACTGGGGATCTGGCCCACATCCTGGGCATGTGCCCTGACCGGGAATCGAACCGGTGACCTCTTGGTGTATGGGTTGGTGCTCAGTCACTGAACCACACTGGCCAAGCTACCATTCCTGATTTTTAATCCCCACAAGTGGGTATGGGGTCAGTCCATTCCGTGTCTCCACCTCTCCTACCAGGTATAGGCCTCCTGTTAGCTTGATTCAGGTGGTTCTGAATGATGGTTGTTCTGTATTTTAGTTGTAATTTTGATATGGTCATTGAGAGGATGTGAATACTGCATTTACTTATCCACTATCTTGGAAATTTAACAGTTTTTATAAAGTTGTTAGTGTGACTTCGGTGCGAAGGTCTGAATTAGTTGGCTGTTAAGGCACATTATTGCATATTTATTTATTTTTTTAATCCTCTCCTGAGGACTTTTTTCCATTTTTATTCAGGTAGAGTGGGAGGGGGAGAGAGAGAGAGAGAAACGTCAACGTGAAAGGGACACATCGAGTGGCTGCCTCCCTCACGACCCCACCCGGGGCCGGGGACAAACCGCAGGTGAGGTACATGCCCTTATTGGGAACTGAACCCAGGTCTCTCTGGACCGCAGGCCGACGCTCTAACCGCTGAGCCAAACCGGCCAGGGCCACCTTATTACTTTTATGTGTATATGTGAGTTTGCCAAAACTCAGTAGTTTCCTAAGCACTTAAATTGTGATCATTTTTCTCTTCTCACATGTGTAATTGATGTACTTAATGCTCTTATAAGGATTACATTTGACATTATCTACATAAATGACATAATATGGAAATCTGTGTATATAAAGTGGTATTACAGGATATTATTGTACTGTCTTCATTTTGGACCAGAAGAACTGAATTGAATTTCAGTTGCGGTGTGGTGGTTTCATGGAATGAAATGTGTTACAACTCCCTCCTGCCACAGGATCTTTGTGTATGTGTTTCTTTCTATTCAGAATGCCACCACTTTCTGCACTTTGCTTAATTAACATGAACTCAACCTATAGATTTAAGCTCAAATGTGACTCTTTTTTTTTTTTAAAGGGAATCATTCTCTGCTGTCTGTTATCACATAGTCCATAGCACTAAAACTTTTCGTAAATAGTGCTTGTCTCAGACACACACAGTTGTTCATCAGCTCAGGAGGCCAGGAGTGAAAATAGAATGGCAGGAGCTAAGTGGAAAGATGTGAATGCATGCATTCTACCTGTTAGTAGTTAAAAAGAATTTTTTTTCTTTACTGATTTTAGAGAGAGGGGAAAGGAGAGGGAGAGATGGAAACATCAGTTAGAGAGAACATTGATTGGCCACCTCCTGCATGCCCCGCACTGGCCCACAACCTGGGCTTGTGCCCTGACCTAGAATCGAACTGGTGACCTTTTGGTGCATGGGTCGATGCTCAGCCACTGAGCACACTGGCTAGGCTGCCTGTTAGTAATTTTACCAAGGGTAGATATGGTCAGATGTATGTTTTATTTTTTATTTTTCTATCTTCACCCGAGGACATTTTTCCATTTTTTGTTCAGATAGAGCAGGAGGGAGAGAGAAGGAGAGAGAGAGAGAGAAACATCGACGTGAAAGGGACACATCGAGTGGCCGCCACCTGCACAACCAACCAGGGCCGGGGACAAATAGCAACCGAGGCACACGCCCTCAGTGGGAACCGAACCTGGGTCTCTCCGGACCGCATGCCAACGCTCCAACCGCTGAGCCAAACAGGCCAGGGCCAGATGTATGTTTTAGATGGATTACTCTGGCAGCACGACAGTAGAAGAGATGATATTGATTTAAGGAGTAAATCTGGTGATGAGAATTTAATGTTTGACTTGCTGTCGATGAAGGGAGAGGAAGGAGTCTGGACAACCTGTGGGTTTCTGGCTGGGTGACTGGGAGAATGGTGAGGTGCTGAGACAAGAGAGATACAGATCAGGATGAATGGAAGCAGGAGAAAAAACTGTTCTGAGTCAGTCTTTCCTGTAAAGCAGCCAAATGAGTGTAAGAGTTGGATGTAGACATGTGAAAATCACCAACACAGCTGGAAATTTAAATAACAAGAACTTCTGAACTTGACCAGAAAAAAAAAGTGAGGTTGAAGATAGACAGCAGCATCCTTAAGTAACAGCAATGAAGACAGAAAAGGAGACCCAGGTTGGAAGCCGAACAACTTCAGCTTCCATTTTGAATGTTACCAAAGCTGATAGAGGATTTTCTTTTTTAAAAAAAATTTTAAATTAATTAATTAATTTTTGTTACAGATGTTTCTCCTTTTCTCCCCACTGATTCCCCCCTCCCCCTGAGTAGAGGATTTTCAAGACATGTATCTCCAATGACAAACAGTAGCTCAGGGAGAAGAGTGGCGGTGAAACAAACAATACAACAGTTACCCTCTCAGAAATAGGCCAAGAATGGGTTTCATGGAAAGGTAGGAAGCAGAAGACCAATAACATTGAAGATCCAGTTCCTTTGCCTGGGGGTACTCTGTGCACCAGTACTGCTTATAGTATATGTTGTCACAGAGATGTTCTGCTGAACCAGATGTCAGTCAGGGCCCGTCTTCTCCTTGGCCCATTTGGGTACTTCCTTGTAAAAACCCAGTTTTAGCAAGAACCCTGCTGAAACAGTTTAACCAGAACCCCCACCCTCAAGATCTGGTCAGGTTTCTCATCCTTCAGACCCCACAGACACTGATCACCCTGGCTTGTCTTCAGCAAAATTGGATTAGGTCAGTGTAACCTGAACTCCCTTAACCCCTGATGCTTCCTGTCAGTAATTTTTCATGCACTGACTCCCATCCTTTTGTTTAGCTATAAATTCCCACTTGTTCAAGCTATGTTCAGAGTTGAGCCCAGTCTCGCTCCCACTGTAAAATCCAATCATAGGGATCTTTATACCTGTCATGATGGTCCAGAATAAGGTCTTCCTTTCCATCTCTAACAAGGGTTATTAAATATTTTATACTTTAACCAGAATTTTTTGTTCTTGATCCTCACCAGAGGATATTTTTTCTATTGATTTTAGAGAGAGTGGAAGGGAGGGAGGGAGGGAGGGGGAAAGAAAGAGAGAAGAAACATTGATATGAGAGAGACATTGATCAGCCACCTCTTGCACACCTGCAACCCATGTATGTAATTAAACCTGTGACCTTTGGTACTTGGATCGATGCTCCAACCGCTGAGCCACACTGGCCAGGGTGATTATCACAAATGCTAATGGTCATCTTATTTCTTTTTGATATGTATCATTTATAAGAATGTAGTTGCCCTGGCCGGTTTGGCTCAGCGGTTAGAGCATCGGCCTGTGGTCCAGAGAGACCCGGGTTCGGTTCCCGCTAAGGGCACGTACCTTGGTTGCAGTTTGTCCTCGGCCCTGGTTGGTCGTGTGGGTGGCAGCCACTCGATGTGTCCCTTTCACATCGATGTTTCTCTCTCTCCCTCTCTTCCTCTCTCTCCCTCCCACTCTATCTGAACAAAAAATAGAAAAATGTCCTCGGGTGAGGATAAAAAAAAAAAAAAAGAAGAATGTAGTGATAAGAACATCAGTATGATAAAAAAAAGTTCTGTAGACTTGGCCACACAGTCATTGTGCAAATAAGGAAACCAAGGCTCCGGAAAGTGCAAGCATTTTCTGCAGGATCACACCGTTGGTGACCAACAGAGGCCTAAGCTCTTCTGTCATGGGACTTTGACAACCACTAGGTTCTCCCTTCCCCATTATTGACATGACCCTTTAGTAACCCCATGAAGTGCTTAAGACAACTATTTGTCTTTCACATCTCAGCAGCTTTTACTGCTCCTTGGCAATGTTAAAATCTGCAAGGTGACCGAATCCAGAATCAAGTCACAGATAAAGAGAAAACCTTTCGGTGAGATTTTTGTGAATGTCATTACCATGTTTCCTCAAAATGTTACTCACATTGACAAGTTTCTGTTGCAGCTCCTACCCTACTGTGAATACTTGGTGCCATCAGCAAAAGAGACACGAGTAAGTATTTTCAAGATGGCGTTTCAGTGGGTTCTGGTCAGGATGGCGGTATAGGTAGGTAAATGTAGTACTCACATCATCTCAGAATCACATCCGTGTTAAAATTAAGCTACAGAACAGGCATCATTCAGAACTACCTGAAAGCTAGCTGAACAAAATTTTTATGACTAAGGACATAAAGAAGAAGCCACGTTGAGACTGTTCGGAGGGGCGAAGATGCAGATGGGGATGTGGTCCCACACTCCTGTATGGTGGATAAAAATTGGGAGGAATACCTTGGCTGTGGAGGTCCCCCCAGAAGACCTAGGGGTTCTAGTCTCACACCAGGTCCCAGCCCAGCGTTCCATTGCCCTGAAGAGAGGGCCCTATGACATCTGGCTGTAAAGACCAGCAGAGGTTGTGGCTGAGTGAGAACTAAACAAAAAGCAGTTACGTTACCTACGAGGGGCTCCCATAGGACTGTCAGCGAATTTCTCTACAGCAACTTTGCAGGCCAGAAGGGACTGGCGAGAAGTATACAAAGGAATGAAAAGCAGGGACCTGCAACCAAGATTACTCTATCCAGCAAAGCTATCATTTAGAATAGAAGGATAAAGAGCTTCCCAGACCAAAAAAAGCTAAAGGAGTTGAGTACCACCAAACCAGTATTTCAAGAAATGTTAAAGGGTCTTGCAGAAGAAGAAGAGGAAGAGGAAGAGAAAACATTTAAGTAGTAAAATGTAATAAATACATACCTGACAAATTACTTTAATGTAAAATGGATGAAATACTTCAATCAAAAGACATACATAGTTTTGCCCTCTCTGGTGTTGCTCAGTGGTTAGAACATTGACTTGCGCACTGGAGGGTTGTGGGTTTGATTCTTGGTGATGGGCATGTACTGGCTTGCATGTTCGATCCCTGGCACTGATCTGGGTGTGTGCAGGAGGCAACCAATCGATGTGTCTCTCTCACATCGGTCTCTCTCTCTCTCTTCCCTCCTTTCCACTCTCTCTAAAATCAATGGAAAAATACCCTCGGGTGAAGATTAACAAACAAACAAAAAAGACATAAGAAGGCGGAATGGATAACAAAACAAGATTCTTACATATACTGTCTACAGGAGACTTTCTTAAGATCAGAAGAAACACAGACAGCCCTGGCCTGTTTGGCTCAGTGGTTGGAGCTTCGGCCTGTGGACCAGAGAGTCCTGGGTTCGGTTCCCGCTAAGGGCACGTACCTTGGTTGCAGTTCGTCCACGGCCCCAGTTAGTGTGGGTGGGGTAGTGTGGGTGGCAACCAGTCGATGTGTCTCTCTCACATCGATGTTTCTCTCTCTTCCCCATCTCTCCCTCCTGCTCTATTTGAAGATAAATCCAAAAATGTCTTTGGATGAAGATAAAAGACACACAAAGTGAAGAGATGGAAAGAGATATTTCATGAAAATGGAAACAAAAAGGCTGGGGTAACAATACTTATACCAGACAAAACAGACTTTCAGCAAAGGCTTTCACAGGAGATGAAGAACCCAGCAGTTCCACTTCTGGGTATTTATCTGAAAAAACCCAAAACACTAAATCCCTATGTTCACTGTAGCTTTATTTACAATAGTCAAGATATGGAAGCAACCTAAGTGTCCATCAGTAGATGAGTGGATAAAGAAGTGATACAATGGAATGTGACACCGTCACAAAAAAGAATGAAATCTTGCATCTGCAACAACATGGATGGACCTAGAGGGTATTGTGCTGAGTGACATAAGACAGAGAAAGACAAATGCCACATGATTTCAGTTAAATGTGAAATCTAAATATAATAAAAGCAAGCAGACCGTAAACAGACTCATAGATATTTTGATGGTTGCCAGATGAGAGGGTGTTTAGAGGGATGGGAGAAGAAGGTGAAGGGAGTAAGAAGTACAATTGGTAGTTATGGAACAATCATGGGAATGTCAAGTACAGCATAGGAATATAGTTCATCATGTTGTTGTTCTGACATCACTGTATGGTGTCAGATGAGTACTAGATTTATCAGGGTGATCACTTTGTACGTCATATAAATGTCTAATCATTATGTTGTACACCTGAAACATACAATTGTATGCCAGTTGTAATTGGAAAATAAAATTTTTTATTAAATTTTTTTTTTTGTAAATACATGTATTTGAGTGAGGGGTGACAGGGCAGAGCCAGTGCTGTACACGGCTGGTACAGTTGTGGAGGCTCAGCACCATGGAGAGAGAACGAGATAGTCTGCACCATAGGGCAGGTGGGGAGGCATTCTGGGGCCTGTAACTCTTGGTTGGTGGGTGTGCTGGCAGGTGTCTTGTCCAGGGCTTTCTGGCTTGAGGGTAGTGTAGGCAGTGGCACCTGGGCTCAGCTTACATCCTTCAGGACCTTGTGGGCAATCTCAGGCAGGACGAAAGCTCTGGGTGCTGGTCAGTTGTATATCTCAGCTGTATCTGTGGGCCTGGTTTCTGAGTCAGCTTGCTGCATGGGCTCCTGGAAATTGGTGTTGAGTTTTTGCTGCACAGCGTGAAGCTGATCTGGCCACTGCGAGGTCGGGATAGTGCAGTGAGCATAGCCCACCACTGGGAACAGCAACCCCAAGAAGTGCTGTATGTCCTTGAGGAGGTCCAGGTGCAGCCACTGGCACTCGTCCTGGCAACAGAGGATTTGTCCTCCTTGAGTGCTGTCTTCATGAGCTGGAGTAGGACTCTTTGAGAAGGCTCTCAGCAGGGCCCATGGGGTCTGAGGAAACAGTGATGATAATATCCATGGAGTCCCCGTTCTGTTTCATGAAGACAAAACCATCATCCATGTGGAGGGTCAGCTTAGAGTTGGAGTAGCCAAGGGTCTTGCCTGGCAGGAACTTCTTAGAGACTTGAATGACATCCTTGTCATTCTCGCACTGGACCACGGACTCCATGGACGAATGCTTCACTACTTCGGCAGTACATCTCTTTTCTCCCCCTTGATGATCAGGACCTTGGGTGGGTTGGGTTGGGGTGGCTGTAGGGCAGCAGGGCGGCAGGATGGCCATCATCTCCTGGTGGGAGAACTAGTTTTTTTCCCTGCATTGGATGACTCTGTCCTTCACTGGCTCTTGGCTGTAGCTCTCACTGCGGAAGACAAGGGTATCCTGGTACCGCTAGCGCTGATGGTGTAGCAGCTGCTCTACTTGCAGGGACAGGGCCTGCCCTTGCCACAGTATGCGTCTAGTGGGACCAGCCCTCAGGATGGCAGCAGGGCCGGCCATGGTGGGCCATCAGGGCTAGGCTCCATAGTTGGTGGCACAGGGTGCAGACCTGGGACTGCAGGCCTTGTGGAGCTGCAGTCCAATGGGACCATCTCTTTCCCACTCCTGGTGCGGTGATCTAACCCACCCAGAGGGGCCGGAAAATAAAATTATTGAAAAAATAAAGCATAATATAAATCTAAAAAAAAAAATTAGTTGAAAGAAACTTTGAAAAATTCTCAACTGCTCCCTGTGTAATCTTGAAATTATAGAATTATTTTACTTCAAGAGATAATTAAATCTAGACCTTTACTTTGAAGATCAGGAAACAGGTTTGAGGAGATTATATTTGTTCATAATCACACAGTTATGGAAGAATCTAGGTCACCTGAATACCAGTTTAGTGCTTTTTACAAAAGCAAAAAAACAAAACCCAGAACATTTCATAGTATAACTTTAAAGGGATTTTTGTTCCTTGTCTTTAGGAAAGAGCTAAAATTATGACAATAAAAAAACTAGTAAGGTCTAAATTAGGAAAGATTTTCAACTGGAATTAAGTGGTCACATTATTTTGTGGTCTTAGGTTGTCATATTGAACTTTGTTCAAAATAAATACCAGTTAGGACTTCAAAAGTTCATATGGAACCAAAAAAGACCCTGAATAGCCACAGCAATCTTGAAAAAGAAGAACAAAGTTGGAGGGATCACATTACCAGATTTCAGGTTATACTACAAAGTGACTGTAATCAAAACAGCTTGGTACTGGCATAAAAACAGGCATATAAACCAGTGGAAAAGAACAGAGAACCCAGAAATGGACCCAAGACATTATGCTCAATTAATATTTGACAGAGGAGGCAAGAACATACAATGGAGTAAAGACAGCCTCTTAATAAGTGGTGTTGGGAAAATTGGACACAGCTACATGCAAAAAAAATGAAACTAGACCATCAACTTACACCATACACAAGAATAAACTCAAAATGGATAAAAGACTTAAATGTGACCAGTGAATCCATAAAAATCCTAGAGGAAAATGTCGGTAACAAAATTTCGGACATCATACGCAGCAGAATTTTCACTGATACGTCACCTAAGGCAACAGAAACAAAGGAGAAAATGAACACATGGGACTACATCAAACTAAAAAGCTGCACAGCAAAAGAAACAACCATCAAAATGGAAAGGGAACCCACTGTATGGGAGAGCATCGTTGCCAGTGATACATCAGATAAGGGGCTAATTTCCAAAATATATAGAGTATTCATATAACTCCACAAAAGGAAGACAACGAACCCAATTAAAAAATGGGCAGAGGAGCTAAATAGACACCTCTCCAAACAGGACATACAAATGGCTAAGAGACATATGAAGAAATGTTCAACATCACTAATTATCAAAGAGATGCAAATTAAAACAACTGTGATGTATCACCTCACACCTATCAGAATGGGCGCCATCGACAAATCATCAAACAACAAGTGTTGGCGAGGATGTGGAGAAAAGGGGACTCTAGTACACTGCTGGTAGGAATGCAGACTGGTGCAGCCACTATGGAAAACACTATGGTGTTACCTCAAAAAATTAAAAATTGAACTTCCGCCCTGGCCGGTTTGGTTCAGCGGTTAGAGCGCCGGCCTGCGGTCCTGAGAGACCCGGGTTCGGTTCCCGCTAAGGGCATGTACCTCGGTTGCAGTTTGTCCCCGGCCCTGGTTGGTCGTGCGGGTGGCAGCCACTCGATGTGTCCCTTTCACGTCGATGTTTCTCTCTCTCTCTCTTCCTCTCTCTCCCTCCCGCTCTGTCTGAACAAAAAAATGGAAAAATGTCCTCGGGTGAGGATAAAAAAAAATAATAATAAAAAAAATAAAAATTGAACTTCCATTTAATCCAGTGATCCCACTTCTAGGAATATACCCTAAGAAGCCTGTAACACCAATCAGAAAGAATGTACGTACCCCCATGTTCATAGCAGCACTATTTACAATAGCTAAGATCTGGAAACAGCCCAGATGTCCATCAGTAGACGAATGGATGCAGCTATAAGAAAGAAAGATCTCTCATCCTTTGAGGCAACATGAGGGACCTGGAAAGCCTCATCCTAAGCGAAACAAGCCAAACAGAGAAAGACAAGTATCATGTGATCTCACTTATTTGTGGAATATAATGAACATAACAGTCTGAGGAATGGGGTAGTCACAGAGATGTGGAAGTAGGGTATAGACTGACAATCCCCAGAAGAGGGGGTGGTGGGGGAGAGATAAACCACAGAACTTATATGCATGTATGCATGAACAATGACATGGACAACAAAGCTGGGGAGAGGGCGGGGAGGGAGGGGTACGGGGGAATTGGGGGGGAAAGGAGAAACATCGGTAACAGAAATAAATTAATTAAAAGAAAATAACCAAACAGGGAAAAAAAAAATGAATTGATGTAATCTATCACATCAACAGGCTGAAGAAAAATTATATGATTATATCAATGAATGCAAAAAAAATTGACAGAATTCAATATGCATTCATGATAAAAAATGCTCAGCAAGTGAGACATAGAAGAGAACTTCCCGATGTTGATATAGAACACCTGTGTACACCTCCTCTCCCCAGTTAATATACTTAATAGTGAGAAACTAGCTGCTGAGATTAGAAACAAATTAGGGATGTCCTTACTCATCGCTCCTTTCCAGCATTGTTCTAGAAGTCCTAGCTAATGCAACAAGAAAGGGAATAAAAGGTATGCACATTGGGAAGGAAGAACTAAAATTGTGCAGAAGTCATGATTGTCTATGTAGAAAAATGTTAAGAATAAGAGAAAAAAAAAACTCTAATAAGTGATCATAATAGCAAGATTCAGGATACAAGATAAATACGCAAAAGTTAATTTCTTTCGTATATAGCCACAGTGAACAGTTGGAATTAAAAACAGTGCCATCTACATTCACACCAAAAAAATGTACTTAAGTATAAATCCCCCCCAAATGTACAAGATCTACATGAGGAAAACTATAACACTTTGATAAAAGAGATCAAAGTAGATATAAATAAATGGAAAAATATTTCTTGTTCATTGATAGAAAGATTCAGTATTGTCAAGATGTGAGTTCTTCCCAACTTGGTCTGTAGATTTAACATCATCCAAATGAAAATCCCAGTAGATTATTTTGTGGATATTGATTAACAAAATTCCTAATACATTCTGTCTCTACATACAGACATAAATGCATGCACAATTTTTTTTTGCCATTTGAGAATAATTACAGACATTATGACACATAATGCCTCAGCATGCAATTTTAGCATGTTGTATCACATCAAAGAAAATTAGCTGTAATTGGTCCATATTCAAATGGTCTTTGATAGCTGGATTTTTCATACCAAGACCTAATCAAGGTTAATTTTTTTTTTTTTTTAATCCTCAAGGATATTTTTCTGTTTATCTTCAGATGGAGAGAGAGGTAGAGAAAGGGGGAGAGAGAAACATTGATGTGAGAGGGACATTGATGTGAGAGGGACACATCAACTGATTGCCTCACGCATGACCTTGACCAGGGCCAGGGATGAACCGCAACCGAGGTATGTGCTCTTGGCTGGAATCGAATCCCAGACTCATTGGACTGCAGGCTGATGCTCTAACGCTGAGCCAAACTGGCTAGGGCTAGGTTCATTTTTTTTTTTTTTTTTTTTTCATCCTCACCCAAGGACATTTTTCCATTTTTTGTTAAGATAGAGTGGGGAGGAGGGAGAGAGAGAGAGAAACATTGATGTGAAAGGGACACATCAAGTGGTTGCCACCTGCATGACCCAACCAGGGTTGGGGACAAACTGCAACCAAGGTACGTGCCCTTAGTGGGAACTGAACCTGGGTGTCTCTGTACCGCAGGCCGGCACTCTAACTGCTGAGCGAGGGCTAAGTTCATATGTTTTATCTGTTTGTCTTCTTAGTCTTGTTTAACTAGACCAGTCTTCCTGAATTTTTTATTTTTCATACTCTTTTTTTTTGTTTTAAGACTTACTCACAGAAGTATCTCAATTGCAAATCAAGCATCTGTGGTCTGCAAACCTAATTTAGGGCTAGTTGAAACCATCACTTGCTTCGTCTGTCCAAGAGTCTTGAGGTATGTCTCTTGGACAGCTAAGGAGGGCTGTTACAGTAGCTGTGTCTGTGATACTTGTTCTGGAGAATGGACTTCATCTCTTTGTGCCTCTTAAGGCTTGTCCTCCTACCTCAATATGTTTATTTATTTATTATTAATCCTCACCCAAGGATATTTTTTATTGCTTTTATTTTTTATTTCATTTTATTTATTTGTTTGTTTGTTAATTCTCTCCTGAGGATATTTTCCCATTGATTTCTAGATAGAGTGGAAGGGAAAAAGGGAGGGCGGGAGGTAGTGAGAAAGAGCCAGAGAGACAGACAGACATTGATGTGATCGGTTGGCTGTCTCCCGCATGAATCTGACCCGGGCCGGGGATGGAACCTGAGACCCTTTCATCCGCAGGCTGATGCTCTAACCACTGAACCAAATTGGCCAGGGCTCAAAATGTTTACTTTGTATGTGCGATATATTCTGTAGAGACATATTTTTTTGATACTGTGTAACTTCTCTTAGCTCATTCCTTGTGATACAGACACAAAAATTATTACTGTGTGTGCTGGGCCTTTTCTCTGTATGCTTACTATTTTTTTCTTTGTAATATGTATCTTGGAGGAGATACTGTGAAACTGTAAATACACAGTTTCTTCTCAAACCTTTTTGCTCACTAATTTTAGCATCCATTGGGGGAGCCTGTCTGCAGCAAGTGTTGCTGGGTGTTCAATGGTGATTTTCTGTTAGCATATATTTTAACATATATCTATTATAATTTTCATATGTGCTGGGCTGGGTATGCAAATCATGGGGAATATAGAGAGTACAAACATTCTGTCCTTGCTTACAAGAACTTACAGTTTAGACAGACAGACAGACAGACATGTAGTTTTTACCATTATGCTTTGGGAATGCAAAGACTGCTGAATAAATTGAGTATAATAAATAAGCATAAATTTATAAAAATATTTGAGAACATTGGTGTAGGAATATACCAACAAATTTTTGAACGTACAGTTATGTGCTGCTTGGGGATGGGTATAGGTCCTGAGAAATGAGTTGTTTGATGATTTCACTGTTGTGTGAAGTCACAGAATGCATTTACACACACCTAGATGGTATAGAGACTACACAACTAGGTAGGCTACATGGTACAGCCTGTTGCTCCCAGGCTTGAAGCCTACCTGTACGCATGTTATTGCACAAAACAACAGGAGGCTACATCAGGCACAAGAGAAAATGATGCCATCAAGAGACACCATAAACATAAGATATGTGCGGCTGTCTGTGGTGTAAAACAGCACACTGTTTTACAGCAGACTTATTTAATAAATAGGAAGCGTACATTCTAACAATACATAGTATAGTAAATACGTAAGCTAGTAAAGTTGTTTATTATTATCAAGTATGTACCATACATAATTATATATACTATACTTTTATATGACTGGTAGTGCATTGGGTTTGTTTACACCAGTATCACCACAAACTGGTGATTAATGCGTTGTTCTGCGACCTTGTGATGCCTGTGATGTCACTAGGTGACAGGAGTTTTCCAGCTCCATTGCAGTCCTGCAGGGTCACCGTCTTTTACGTGGCCCTTCGTTGATTGAAACGCTGTGAAGCACATGACTATTTGGCGAAGGTAGATATTTTAGAAGGATGTTTAAAAAAAGAAAAACACCATTCCTACCTCTTTATAAAAGTAATCCATATCATCCCAGGGTGTTGCTCAGTGGATTGAGTGCCGTCCCATGGATTGAGAGGTCCTGGTTCAATTCCTGGTCATGGCACGTGTCTGGGTTTCAGGTTCGATCCCCACCCAGTAGGGGGTGTGCAGGAGGCAGCTGATCGATGTTTGTCTCTTACATTGATGATTCTATCTCTCCCTTCCCCCCCTCTAAAAAAAGCAATAAAAATATATTTAAAAATATAGTACTGCATATCTGTTGGACAACTTGGAAAAACCCAAGGTGTAAAAAAACAGCAAGATTTTACCCTAATTACATGCTTTTGTTACATTTTTGTGCCCCCCCCCCTTTTTTTTTAAATACTCACCGGAGGACATTTTTCCATTTTTTGTTCAGATAGAGTAGGAGGGAGAGAGATAGAGAGAAACATTGATGTGAAAGGGACATATCGAGTGGTTGCCACCCACATGACCCAACCAGGGCCAGGGACAAACTGCAGCCGAGGTACGTGCCCTTAGCGGGAACCAAACTGGCCAGGGCTCTTCTCATTTTTTGACTTTTGCATTAAAGTATACAGTTCTTGCCCAGCCAGTGTTGCTTAATGGTTAGAGCATTGGCCTGCACTCTGTAGGGTCTTGGGTTCGATTCCTGGTCAGGGGGACGTGCCTGGGTTGCAGGTTTGAATCCTGGCCCAGGCTAGGTTGTGCAGGAAATAGCTAATTGATATCTCCCCCCCCCCCCCCACTTCCCTCTCCTTCCCTTACACTCTGTCTAAAAATAAATGGAAAAATATCCTCAGGTGAGGATTAACAACAAAAAGGTATACAGTTCTGGCCAGGGTGTGATTTTTTTTTAACCTGAAGCATTAAAGATTATTTGACTTCATTAATCCTTCTTAGTTATGATGGAAATAAATGGAAAAAGCGTTTTGTAAAAAGATGAGTGCCAGCCCTGGCCAGTTGGCTCAACGGTTAGAGCATTGGCCTGCGGTCTGGAGAGACCCGGGTTCGGTTCCCGCTAAGGGCGCGTACCTCGGTTGCAGTTTGTCCCCGGCCCTGGTTGGTCGTGCGGGTGGCAGCCACTCGATGTGTTCCTTTCACATCGATGTTTCTCTCTCTCTCTGTTCCTCTCTCTCCCTCCCACTCTACCTGAACAAAAAAAAAAGATGAGTGCCATTTGAATTTGAGGTAACGTATATTTTAAAACAATTCGTATGTCCAACAGTGGGACATTTAAGTAAATCATGTTACACTTAGTGAAACATTTAGGAACTTGTTAAATATTTGCAGCCCTGACCTGCTTGGCTCAGCGATTAGAGCGTCGGCCCGCGGACCAATGAGTCCCGGGTTTGATACCAGTCAAGGGCATGTACCTCGGTCGTGTTCATCCCGGCCCTGGCCCTGTTCGGGTTGTGCGGGAGGCAACCAGTCGATGTGGCTCTGTCATGTTGATGTGGCTCTGTCTCTGTCTCTGTCTCCCTCTCCCTCCCACCCACTCTATTAATAAGTAGTCAAGTATCCTTGAGTGAGGAATAAAAAACAACAACAAAAAAATTTGCATCGTGCCTAGTGTGTCTCAGTGGATTGAGTGACAGTCCATGGACCGCGAGGCCCGGTTGGATTCCTGGAGGTCAGGGCGCATTGCCTGGTGTGTGGGCTTGACTGGGGGCGTGCAGGAGGAGCCTGTAGATGTTTCTGTCTCTCCTTTCCTTTCTCTCTGAAAAATCAATAAAAACATTAAAAAAAAAAAAACATTTGCGTAGTTGAAAATATTTTGGATTTTTTTTTTAAAGAAAAGGGAAGGGAGATGAGAGAGAGAAACATCGATTGGTTGCCTCCTATGTACACCCTGACAGGATTGAACTGCAACATGGGTATGTGCCCTGACTGGAAATTGAACTGGAAACCCTTTTGGCGCACGGGAGAACGCTCAACCAAATAGCCAGGCTGCAAGGAGTTTTCAGTATGGAAAACTTTTAAGCTGTAATTATTAGGGAGCAAAAGTAAAATTTTACATGTACTCCACAATGAGACATAGTTCATTAATGGTGTGTTTTCCTCTTTACTTTCTCAGACTCTTTCCTCAGGTATTCTGTCATTACTGTGTATTGTTTTTATAAAGGCTTAAAATATGCAAATTATGAATAGGCAATATAAATGTGACTCATAGTGTGGATTATATGTGATCATAAGTGTCTATAATACTGTGATACTGAGGTGGAACAGGATCCCTTACGTACCTTCTAATAGTCTCTAGAGTTAAATTGTATATACAATGCTTGTCACTTATTCATTCATTTTTTTGAACTCTGAAAGGTACAGATTTCTTTTTTTTTAAATGTGTTTATTGATTTTTGATTTATTGTTAAACTTACTTATGTATTCATTGGTTGATTTTTGTGTGTGCCTGACTGGAGGTCCAACCTGCAACCCTAGCATATTGGGATGACGCTACAACCAACTGAACTACCTGGCTAGGGTGTTGATTTCTGAAATTTTATTGTTTATTATCTGTAGGAATAAAGAGATTTTCTTAAATAACCATAATAATGTTATTACACAAGGATATTAGCAATAATAATCTAATATTAACTATTTATCTAATATAACTAGGTAAATACTACTTACCAACCTTACCTAATTGAACTTTATAAATTCAGTAAATTATTTGGTAACGTTTTTTATACTAATTTAAAAAATTGAGGTAAAGTTGACATATGACATTAGTTCAGGTGTACAGCAATGCTTTGGTATTTCTGTACATTGCAAAATGATTACCACAATAAGTCTAGTTTAAAGCAGTTACCTTACATAGTTAAAAAAATATTTTTCTTATGATGAGAACTTTTAAGATCCTCTCCCTTAGCAACTTTCAAATATACATATAATACAGTGTTATTAATTATGGACACCATGCTGTACATTCCATCCCCATGACTTATTTATCTTATAGATAGAAATTTGGAAACTTGTACCTTCTGAACTCCTTCACTCATGTCCCCACCTCCAACCCCCATGCGCCTGTGTCTGTGAGCTTGCTTTTTGTTTAAGTGAGATCATATAGCATTTATCTTTCTGTGTCTGATTTATTTCACTTAGCATAATGCCCTCAAGATTTGCTTATGTTGTTGCAAATAGCAAGATTTCCTTTTTTTTTAGTCTCACCTGAGGACATTTTTTTGCATTTATCTTCAGACAGAACCAGAGGGAGGGAGGGGGGAAGAAAGAGAGAGAGAGAGAGAAACATCGACATGAGAGAGACACATTGACTGGTTGCCATCCACATGACCCCAACCAGGCCAGGGACAAACTGCAGCTGAGGTATGTGCCCTTAGCGGGAACTGAACCCAGGACTCTCCGGTCTGCAGGCCGACACTCTAACTGCTGAGCCAAATGGGCCAGGGCAAGATTTCCT